GCCCCCGGTTGTTCGAAGGATGGATAACGCTATACACTGGATAAATCTCTATCCGGTGGATAGCGCAGTACGTTTTGGTAACACTTATCCGCTGGATCGCAATTTATCCGTTGGATAGCAGTATCCGCCCTTTGAACAACCGGAGCCAGTATCTAGTTAGCATGATAACAAAGAAATTTGCATCTGAAAAGCGGCAACATCTGTATCATAACAAGGTCACTCTAAGCCTCACTCCTGTTCAAAGGCCTGGCCACCAAGCCCACAACTGTAAAATCAGTAATTAAATGGAGATCCATTCCTTCTCCCAGCCCCTGTGCCCCGTGCGTGAACGGATGGCGTGTTTGTTTATCATCTTCTTGCCTTCTATTCCCATTTTCTCGGATCGATGCTCATAAAATGATCAATTACCATCTCGCTGTTATTTATTTCTTAGGTCAGGTAGCAACGACCTGAACTCAATCATTGTAATTGTCATGGTAACAAATGTGAACCCAGATCATCTCGCCAATCTAAAAGAACCGGTCGTACTACGCTTCGAACATTTAAAGGTAAAAACGAAACGGTTAAATCAGACTTTGCCTCACCTATCAAAAAAAGCAGGCTCACTGCCAACAGTAATTAAAAGAACCACTTAATATTTTCTTGTAATTATTTTTTAATTGCAGAGGGACTCCCGTGAGCAGCAATGCAGTTTTCTGAACGAGACAGCCATGTAAGTACCATTCTGCTCATTAAACCAGAATGATGAGGAAAAGGCAATGTTGGAATTTGCAACATTAATTCCTGGCTTTATGGCTCGATATTTATTTACGGCACAATTACAAGTAATTAACCCTCTTATTAATTTATTTATGCATTATGCAGAGCCCGTTTCCCTAAAGATCCTTCAAAGCACTGGTCTAGTGTAGGATGCTACAGGAATTATTCCACCGAGGAAATTACTATCTGCCACTGTTACCATCTCACCAGCTATGGTCTTATCATGGACGTGCACGGAATTTATGTAAGAAAGATAGACCAAAATAAGTTTGTAAAACTTATAGCCTCTCTTCAGCTTCTCGGCTGTTGTTAGAACGTGTGCAGTCACATTAGAACAGGAACGAAACTGATTATTTTAAACGAACTGTCTGCCAGTCGGTAATTCAGTAGGCCAACCAGTAAGTTGGTTAATTATTCTTGAGACTTTATTCACCAGTCTCCCAGCAAATAAGTCGGTCAGTCAGTTACTCACTCACTTAGCCAGTCAGTCGCTCTGTCTGCCGTGCTCTTTTCTGTCTTTCGTCTGTCCACTTGTCGGTGAATCAGGGAGCCAGCCCTTCGGGTGACAAGTCAAACCAGCTGTCAGTCGGTCCGTATATCCTATGTTTGACTGTCTGTCTGTCCATTTGTCTGTCTGTCTTTCTGTCAGTTAACGGTCATTAGTTCAGCCAATCCAAACAAGATCGCGGAAAAGACGAGAGGAAAGCGTTTTTCGCTCCTAATTTGCTACCATGTACCACCAACTCAGCCTTACCTGACAGCAACTGTCCAGATAAATAGATCATGCCACTCTCCCTCTATCGTCAAGCGAGTTAGGTTTTACATCGTGAGCGATAATTCAGTTTTGTTAACATGCTGTTTTGGTTTATTTTCAGGATGAACTGAGCGAGGCTCACAAAGAGACCCTGAAGTACATCTCACTAGTCGGCTGCTGCGTCTCCATTTTCTTTTGTCTTTTGTCAATATTCGGATTCTCGCTGGCAATGTAAGACATTTGAGACGGATTGATTTTCGTATTTCAGATAAGGTCTATTAGACCTCAAAACAATGCTGTAGTTAGTTAAAATGAAGCTGCACTAAACACTCACCTTGATTTGTGCTGTTTGTACGAAGATAACATAATTTTACTGTAACGTCGATAGTTTTCAAAGAAAATTCGTAGATGCAACAATTGCACCACGGATGTGCCAAAATTGGTGTTTATATCTTGAAATCCAGTTCCATGGTTTTACACAGCTACACTTACAAGTGTTTCTCAGTCATAAACTGTTTCAAAAACTCTTTTACATATTATCAATGTTTGATTTTATAAACATCTTCCCAAACATAACTAAATGATTGACAATTTGAGTTTTCAAAACAAAGAAAAGTTTACTTTGAACAGCTTGATTCAATTACCTTTCTCTATTGAAAAAAGATTTCGAGGTAGTTTATTTCTTTAACATCTTTCAGGAGGAAACCACGCGAAACCAAAGCAAGGCGCGAGACTTACCGACTTCACATCAATCTTGTTCTGGCAATCTGTCTATCACAAATGTGTTTCGTCATCGGCACCATTATTATTTCAGTTGATGTGGTATGTACAATAGCGTGTATGTGCGCGTATCTTCACTAACAGTTATGCACACATGCACGCATATGTCCACCATTATGAAGGTATGCAGATGTATGTGCACTATTGGGCCTAATATAGTCTGATAACTCGTCATCATTGATTTTAACTCTGGTTCTGGTGTATGCATCAAGAGGAATTTCTCTTGGAAGGATGTGCTGTATTTTCTCGATTTCACATGCAAAGTATTAATGCTAGTTTTCCTCCTATTTTCCTATCAGCTTGCCTGTCGGATAGTTTCTATAGCAACCCACTACTTCCTTGGTGCCTCGTTTTGCTGGATGTTGGCCGAGGGAATCCACATTTACAACAAGATTGTACGTGTCTTTAGCAACAAAAAGTACAACAAAGTATTCTACGTCCTGGGTTGGGGTAAGTTATTCTACTGAACTCGTTACGTGAGGAACTTATTTTTATAGTTGATATTTCCCGTGTGCGTGACCAATCAGAGGCTCCGTAGAACGTCTGTATTTGACAAACGGAGTCATTCATTTTAGGTCACAAATCACCTTCCAGGCTCTAGAGCGCAAGTGTAATTCTAAACGTACGTAATTGGGTGTCTAAGTTTCACCATCACGCGCGCGTGAGTATCAGCAGGTATGCATCAAATCTATAGGCTTATGTAAACCCCACCCTTTTACATGAAACATTCATTGTTGAATTAAAATCTGAGAGTTAGTTAACGTAACAGTTAAGACTTACAAAGAAATCCAGGCTACCCGAGCTTATCCTAGTTTATCCTACTTTATCCTAGTTTCCGTTGCATAACGCGACTAAGAGCCCTACTTCTGCCAGTGAATAGAGGGCTTGTCTATTATAGCTAGTCTCCCTCCCACTTCCCTGGCAGTCAAGTGGTACTCATTTACACCCCTCAATGAGAGGACAAAAGCACTGTGCATACCTACGACTAAGTTCCTCTGTTTTTATAATCTTCCTCAGCAGTACAAGAGAACCACTTTTATCCTTGCCACTGATGATATACAAATACGGTTTTCTTTCCATAATCTTTCGTCATCATGACCAACAAACCCAAAATCTGAAAGAAAAAACTCACATTTTGTTCTTTATGCATCTGGCCCCAGTTTTTCTAAGGTTGGATAGCGCTATCCATTGGATAAAACTCTATCCGGTAGATAATGCTAAACGTTTTGCTATCACTTATCCGTCGGATAGCGATTTATCCCTTGGATAGCGTTATCCGCCCTTTATACAACTGGGCTTTGGTAAATTGTCTCTTTTCAGGGGCACCAATTCTTCTCGTATCAGCCTCCACAGGACTTTCCTTCCACGAATACGGACCCCACAACATGTAATTATTTTTCATATTAATTCATTTGTGTTTCTAGTTGTAAGAAATCATATGAAAGAGTGAACCAACAAAACAAACTGTGACTAGACTCTTGTTTGAAATTTCTGGACAATAAGTAAAAAAAACCTGAACTGGATGTTGATGCACTGACGACACCAGTGGTAACTAAGCCAAGACAAATTAAAACTTCATTGGATCATTTACAGAAAAATGCTTGAAACTACCTGCAGATGTCCTGCAGCGTGCATCTCAGCGTTACCAAAAGGCAAGCTATACCTCGTTAATATGCAGAGTAAGGGCGTTCGTTGGGGGCATGACAGAATTTACATTTAATTCATCAAAAGGCCTGTTAGCTCATAGTAATTATCTTTCTATTCCTTTCGCAAAATATTTGACAATATTTGTTTTCTCCTTTTATATTCAGCTGTTGGTTGTCTGGAAAACTAATTTGGGTTTTTGCTGCTCCGGTACTGGTTGTTATTGCGGTAAGTAAATACACACTACGATAGTTGACCAACCGGCGCTTTCGTGAAGTGTAACATTAAATATCCCAAGAGTGAGTTGTATTTCCCGGTATAACTATGAGCCAATACGCGTGTGTCCATACCATGGAAAGTGACGTGCGGCATAATCCATGGTACAACACGAGAAAGTGTTACATGACTACTTTATAACATGCTATATCAAATACAGCAGCCAACATGATTATTGCGATATTCACCGCGCGCGCGGACTTCAGTTTGAATGACTCCAACCAGGGTCCAATTTTCTCGGCGCCGCTTGCTAAATTTTGGCCCTAAGACTGCACGCGCGGTGGGAAAATTGGTTGTGATACCGTCAAATGTGTTACGATTCTCGTGAATTTGGTATTTTCTTTAGCATAGTCTGTAACCTTATCTTACGCAAGCAACCAAGCTTAGATCACACAGACATCAAAAATTTGGTATTTGATAGACGCAGAGTAGAATATTGTTGTCGTGTGTGTTTCTACCGGTGACAAATATTTTTCGAATTTAAAACAGTGGTTGATTTTTTGTACTTTATTTAGATCAACTGTTTCATCCTTGTCAGCGTTATCTACGTATTGTTGAGGAAGACTATGGTAAAAGCTGGAGAAGAAAACTCTGCCAAGAAATCAAATATAAGGTAAAAAAAAAACGCCTTGTTAAGTTGGCTTCGTCATTATAATTGACGCATAAGTTTCTTAAGGATAAAAAAGCGTCAAATTATCACTTGCGCACTGGAGTTAACAATACTCGAACTTAGACAATTCCGAAAGTAGCGTCGTCCCGGAAGTGAACAAAACTAATTGCCTTCTATTTGTTTCTTGCGCAGGCGCAGTGTCAAGGTGACAGTGGTGTTGCTCCCTCTACTTGGCCTCACTTGGGTGTTTGGTTTCATGGCGGTTGACAGGAACACGATCTTCTTCCATTACATCTTTGCGATCGCCAACTCTTTACAGGTACAAAACGTAAACGGCAAAATTCTTTCTTTGATTAAGAAACGTGCTCATCTTGTAACTCGTTTTAACGAATAATGCATGTGTTTTCGGGTCAATGCGGTATATCAACATCATCCTCATTATAATTACCATTAATATTATCATTATCAATATCACCGTCTTGTCACTGTCACTTTCCTCCGGTCTCGTTATCGTTATCATTATCGTTATCATCATAACCATCAATAGCAGAGCTGTGATAGTACAGTCTAATCGTCCGGGTGAGTGTAGTTCTGAGAATGACTACAGACCGAACTGGACCCCATTTGGTCCTATTGCCATTACTTTTCAAGGTCGCATTTGTTCCACCTATTTAGTAGGTTTAACCGTGTACCGATTTTAGAGAAGTCTGCTTATTCTATCAATGTACATGAAAGATCTACTGTTGGTTAATTCAGTGTAGGACTGGGCTGAATGTTAAAAAACGCATGCGCACTTTCCTTATGAATAACATTATATCTAACTGTATGATCCCTTTTTCAGGGACTTTTCATTTTCTTTGCGCACTGCTGGATAAACGAAACGGTAAGAATTACGAGTAAACTACACAGCATTATACAGCACTAAGTATAATTTCGAAACTGAGGCGCATTTCATTCGTAAAGAGCCACATGAAACTTAACAGAATGTGCACAAATGTCTTCAAGCACCAGAAAACGCACGTAACAAGATCTATTGGTTGAAAGGATCAGACAAGTTTTGTGAGCCAATTACAAAGCGCAATGGAACAAACCTGATGCAATTCCAGATTTGTGCTAAGGACAGTCAACTGTAAATTGTTCGATTAGAAGAAGTGTAATCGATGTTGCACAGTCTTATTGCCCAAATAAACTTGTCAGTGTCCTAACAGTGCCCTTCGCTCCGACGAAGGGCTAACGCTCGAAACGTCAGCTTTTGTAATCATTACGGTGGCCAATTTACCATTTCAACTTTGTTGATATATCCAAATTATAGTGTCCTAACAAGATCAACAAACACAATGACAGGAGCGGATCCTGGAATTTTCAGAAAACCTTTTGACACACCAGAGCCTAAATAGGCTAACTAATATTTCAAGACGAGCCAATGTCGTAAACTACATATTGAGTAGTAACGTGCGATCCGGTTATCTTTGCAAGAATGTTGGTGTCGCACAAGTGCTAAAAGAACAGCAGATCTTATGAAAAGGGGGGGGGGGAAGGAAATACACCTTGTCACTTATTATGGTTTGATCTGTCCTAATTCTGCTATGGTTGCAATCTTTGTATTAACAGCATCTTGCTAAAATAAGCCATGCTCTCCGTTCGACCGTGTGCAGCGTAAACATAATTACCGGCCTTCCTTAAACAAAAAATTTGCGAATACAATGTCTCGCAAACTGGGCGACTAATTGATTCTTGAAAATGAAATGTAATAGATATGAAAAATAAATATTCCTAGTTGCACGATGGAAACATTTTTCGGGCCGCAGTATTCGCAGTTGAATTAGTGAATACTTTTATTAAACCTACGTTTGCTCAAAGCTGAAAGAGCAAGTGTCATACAAAAAATTTCACATTAATTCGAAGATAGCTGATATCGTGCTAATTGCACCGTCACTCATGTTGCTAAGACAGGTTGCCATACAATCAAGAAGGCTGTGTCAATATCATTTACTCATTTCTAAGACAAAAGTTTAATTTGCTCTTTAAGACACATTCTCCCCGCGATTGTAGGATAGATCACGGATGTGGTTTTTCTGAGAGACACAACTTCAGTATGAAATACTCCAAATGATATGATTTGTGTTTTCTTTCTCGCACTCGTCTCCTTGAGGGTTTTCTTTCTTTTTATCTTCATAATTTCTGGACTAAGATACACCGTGTGTCAGGTAGTACATCCTTTTACACGTATCCTGACCTTTTTTACGAGGACTTGTGCGACTGCTTTCCCTAAAACCTTAGATTCTACATCGATTTAAGAAATTTACGGACTGCATGCACTTAAAGAACTCAAGGTCACATTTTTGGCGAGGGTTAGGGGAAATACTAAATGGATCCTCAAAAGCAGGTCATTAATCNATTGATATTGACTACTGATTCTTTTACAATAACTAGGTACGCGAAGCTCTCACTCAGAAAAGTCCAAGTTTTAGCTCAAGAGGGAAATATAATATAAGGAGAAAACCGAGTGACAATCGACTCAACAGTGTGTCACTTGAAACAGCCACACCTACGACGACTTCTGTCCGACTGGTGAGGACAAACTCTCGACAAATCAAGGAACCCCCTCCGTTAAAACTCGTGAATCTAAAGCAGGAGTTAGCGTCGGCGCGGCAGGAGCAAATCGATGACAATTCGGTGAGGCTCACGAACTTTGCGAAGTTACCGCCGAAGTACGCCGACATGCTCGTCGACGCTCCAGCCTCGAGGCTTTTTAGCGTAAGCAAGCCTTCGATGAAAATCACATCTTTGGTTAATAACGTGTCTCCCAATGAGTACCCGATTACGCCGAAAGAAGCTTATGACAACCCAACGTACGCGTATTGGAAAGGTCGCGGTGATTCTGATTAAACTGCGTTTTGATCCTAAGAAGCCATGTAAATAAAATTGAATTAAGTCTGAATTGTTCGGTCTTAGAACAGTCGTACGTGTAGAGGATTTATTTAATCAAGAAAGTTGTTTAATAGCAGATTACCAGAGAATAAAAAATGACGATTGCTGCTGAATAATTTTGATGAATGTTTGATTAATAAACAATATCAACGTGATCAATTCAACTTGAGAGGCTCTCTCAGGACAGATTTCGACATAAACCTTTTATTTGTTGTTTTTATCTGTTTGCTTGTCTGTTTGGTTTTTGAATGCGTTTAAGTATCGCGCTAGTGCTCACGTCCATTAAGACAGTCTGTGGCCATGAGAAGGTCCACGTTCGGATGTTAACAAAGCTAGTGGACCCGTTTGCGCGGTTCCAGTTGGATGCACTTCCATGTATTAGATCAGCTGAGCTCCACGTTTGAAGTCACAGTCTCTAGAAAAGTCAAAGATCTCGTATTTTTTGTAAAACACACTAAGAGAGTTGAATTTCACTCGTTAATTCTGAGATTTAAATTTGCGTAGAGAAACTTCCCAACAAATCTGGCTTTTGAGAAATTTTTCCCTGGGGCCCGTTTCTCGAAAGTCTCAGTAACTTAACGAGCCCGCAACCATGTTTTAAAATCAAAATTTAAAGGATAAGAAAGCAGGTTCTGGCACCCAAACCAGTCCTTCTTGTTTCCTTAGCTGATAGTTTTATTGTATCATTCTCAAAACTTTTTAGATCCCTATCTTGGAAGAAGACTGAACAGCTTTAGAGGCCCGTTAAGTTACCAGGACTTTGGTGAAACGGGGGCCCTGAGCCCTTCGTGCGTGTAAGACGCGCACGAAATATGCAACACGCACTCACTCGATTATCACGCAAGTGTAATCTCCTGCCTGAGACATGTCACTTCATGCCATCAAGCACAAATTCGGCTAACATTATGGCGTTGAGTTGTTCGTTGTTCGAGGTTCTCCAATCTTATACAGACTGCATAGCTAAATCAGAAATGCCTGTGAAGACAACTGTTATCACGGCCCTTCTGTACGGCTTCAAAGCATTTCTTCAAGAAATTGTCTTCAATTGTCCACGCGATTACCACATCCTCTATGGCTGCCTGTTCATATGTGGTCCCGCTGTCGTTTTGTTTTGCCTTTCCATGCTGATATCTGAGTCTTTCTGGACCCTTGTCACGGGCTGCTTCCGTCTCCAGTCGCGCAAGCGAAAACTGGTGTGGTGGAAATCAAGCAAGAGTGTGTATTTGTCCCTTCTCCCGCCGTGTATATGGTTTGTCTTCGCTTTCATGGAAGGCGATTTCTACGTTTGCTTAACTCTTGGACCTATTAAACCCGCTCTCAATCACGCCTCCAGTGAAAGCTCAAGAGAAAAGGTTCAAGAGAAGTTTGCCCAAGCGAAAAGCATTTCGGCGATTATATCTTGGTGTACTCTGATAACATTGGTGTTGACAGTGACAGTTTGTGTCACGCTCAGCAGAATTCTTGCTCAAGTCGACCCAAAACTTCAAGGCGAAATTGATTTTGACGAGATTGAAGCGCAGGAGGCGGTAAAGTTATGGAATGGTCGGTTACAAACCCTCGCGAAGGCTCAGGCTTTTGAAGTTATCGAAGAAGTCTCAAATACTTTCATTCACGACGAACAAAACTCTGATGTCTCGGAACAAGTTCGTCGAGGGGCAGAATATCTAAAAAGGCTGTACCCTAGATATGGAGGAGTGGTTAAGGGGCAATTCCGGAACGACAATTGGAGACCGAGGGATGAACGACTGAGAGAGCTTCTTGATCGATCGTCATCCACAGAAATGCTAATAAATGCCGATAAAAAGTATAAGGGGGCGTATGGTGCACGTTACACAACCAGCATATGATTCATATGCATATGAGTCATGCAATCCTTTGATCACGCAAATTATTAGGGACTTTAAGCAGTCAGGACAACAACGCCACGGAAGACGTCGATTAAAAAATGAGTTTCTGCTTTTAGTTAGAATTTCGAAAATGGCTGCATGTGTTTACCGTCTCATTGGGCGCCAGACCTCAAACTCAACATAACGCATAAAAGTAGCGTTGAGTTCCAAAAGCCGCCGCGGTTTCGCTTGGCAGACGACGTAAATTTTTATTTCACGTTGTTGTTTTGCAAAGGACGGCTAAGAAATGTACAAAGTTTTAAAACGCACGTGCTGGGCTACTTTTCTACCAATTGGATCTATTGTTTTTCCACGTTCTCGTTGCCGTAGCCGTCGTGGTTTGCTTAAAATCCCTATAAATATTAATAGTCGATCTATAACGGAAGCTAAAAATTTTTGGGACACTTCCCTACCCTCTCCCCCCAAACAATGTTAATTTTGTGTGCTTTGTAAACTTTACTATGTCATGGGATTGTTTGGTTTGACCAACATTGTTAAGAGGGAGGGTCGGAAGAGGAAGATCTGTACAAAAAGAATGAATTGGTCAAAAGCTGTCTTTTTCACTCTATTTAAATATAGGTTATATTTTCAAAAACCATCCCAAGGAGTTTTGATCTGCATTGTAGCTTCCTAGCTCACTTGGTAGAAGGCCACAAGTTAGAACCTTATCAAAACCTGATTTTTTTCAGGTTTCTAGTTCTGCGATTTCTACAACTTCAGTATACCAGTGAAGATCACTTTGTCATTTCTTAGCACCCAAAGGTAAAAACTAAGTTGAACAATTATTCAGTTATTTTTGTGTGTGATAAAATGATTTCAGATGCAAACAAATGTGATCATGATTTTAATCTGGTTATTGATTCTCAAATGGTTCAATTATTGTGCCTCATTCCCTGTTTTTCCTGTTGTATTTATAATTAAAGATGAAACAATTTTTAGTGTAATAGAAAAATAATTTACAATTATTTGAGATTTTGGGGCTTAATTATGGGAATGTGGGTATCCTTTAGTTCTTATTAACTGAGCGGGAGGTCTGTATGGGAAAATCTTGACTGAGGTCGCCAGTACAGACCGAACGCAATGAAGTCTGTACCAGGGACCAAGGTCAAGATTCTCCCATACAGACCGACCTTGCTCAGTTAATAAGATGTCTATTATATGGCTGTGTCTTACATGCCTTTTTGTACCTTTTTTTTCTAGACTGGTCTACCTTTTTTTCTAGACCCTTTCACCTCCTAGATCTCATTAGTATTACTGTCTGTCACACAATTCTTGTGATGTTAGTTTAAAGAATTTGGTATTGAATCAACTAAAATTACTCCCTTGATGGATATTCTTCCTTACTTGCATCGCTTATGTCTGTTTTCTTGCTAGCAGAAGTCTCTTTTCCTTGTATTTATCATGTCCCTATTCTCCTACACAATGAATACAAGCAAAAGAGGCCTCTGCTACGAGGGAACTTGTCTGCCTGATACTGGATTGATATTGTAAAGAGAAATTCTGTCTTGGCCACTCCTGACAGTAAAAGGGTTAAATCTGTGTTTCCAGTAAGCACAAGAAGTTGAGGTTGATGAGCAGTTAGATTTTTTGTAAATGCATTTTTGTTTATGCCTGAGCAAAAACCTTTCTGTTATATTTATAATTTTCTTAATAAAAACGGGTTGAAGAGAGGAAAATTTCTCCACTCTAACAAAACCATAGATTTTTAACTGAGGGACTTGGGTGTTGTGGAATTGATATTTAATGCTTAACCTGAGGCAAAAAAACATGAAATATTTGAAATAAATATTATGCGTTGTTGTGCTTTTCAAGTCACATAAGATAACTAAAAACATGAGTAAACAAATATATGTGAATCGGATCAGAAGACCCTTCTCACTATTGCTCAAAAATTTACAACCTCACCAAAATAGGGCAATCTTGAATTAATTTTTAAATATATTTCGTTTTCGTCTACAAACCATTTTTCTTTAATACAAATTAATGATGAAATACCTTGGCAGTGTACATGCTTCGAGCTTCCTAGAATTCAGCAACGTCAATTTTCGAACAAAACCTTCGATGAGATTCGTCGGCGCATTCGAATAAATTTATGAACTCATCGTTCGGCTGCGCAGAGCCTGGATTCCAGAATTACCTCGTCCTTGAAATACCATTAAGCCAAAAATGTTTAAACACTTGTCTCCTATTAACAAGGGCTAAGTACATGCAACCAAGGATCTTTATCGACGCGTTCACTACGAATTGAAAGCTTCAAATGGTTCCTTAACCATTTTACACGCGAATCGTCTCGTTCGCATTTGTGATCATGTGTTGCCGAAAGAATTGGCGCGAAGATTCAACCAATCAAAAGTAAGAATGATACCGATCCAGTCTCCTTCCGTGTCCTAAACCCACAACAAAATGGCGGATGATTTGCCGTACAAGGCTGAATACGCGAAGTCAAACCGTTCATCATGCAAAGCATGCAAGGGCAACATCTCAAAAGAGAGTCTGAGGCTGGCAAAGATGGTCCAGGTAAGCAGATATGTGAAAAACCTTTTTTTCGCGTGATCTGGACGAAGTAAAAGGCATCCTAACGTATGCGCAATTTTCTGCCATGGGCATGTGCGTTGTAGTCAAAGTGATTACTAAGCGCCATTGTATTGAAAGGGTTTTACTGAAACGTTCTTTTCTCGTTGTTTTTCAGTCTCCACACTTTGACGGCAAGGTGAGAAATTTAACTTTTTGAAAGTAAGGTCATATAAGAATTTTTTAATGAGTTTGACAGACTTCCTACATTTGTAGCTAGGTGAAAGTAATATACATAATTTGTGGTAGGAACATTTTTCTGAGAAGTACGCTTTGGAAGGGAAATTTTGGAACCACATTTCGTTTGGATCAATGAGCATTAAAACTTAAAGTGTAGTGTTTGTTCCTATTGGACAAATGCATGCCTGAGCTATTACATAATCTTGTTTCTATTGGTTAACAGACCCTAAACCGCAGTCGCGTGATTATCTATATATCTATCATTGTATATTAAGTTCATCAAAATTCTAATAAAGCAGTTTTGTATGGCACTTGTTTTGGGCATGCGTTACACTATAGTAGTATACATAGAACCCTAACACGCAACAACTGGCAAGAACCCCAAAAGATCTAGAACCTGCACAACTATTTTTAGCAGTTTTGAACCAGTGGCTGACCCAGGGGAAGGGTCAGAGGGGTTCTACACCTCCACCCCATCTGACTAGTTGGATTTTTTGTGATAATTTTCTGAGATAAATATTCTTGGAATAACAGTATCATGTTACTTCTCAGCTTGAAGTACTTAGAATTTACTCGTCTTAAAATATTTATTTGCTTTTTTAGGCTCTTAGAAAAATGGAATATTTTTTGTTTTTTGAATCTAGGTTTACACCCCCTCCCCATCATGATAAATTTCAAGATCCACCCCAGTTATCGCACAAAAGCAATTATTTATACAACATTTCATTGTCCTTGGTATTATAGATACCCAATTGGTTCCACTACAGTTGTTTCTTCAGAAAGATCAAAGTAAATGCTTCCAGTGACATAAGTGGTTTTGACTCCTTAAGATGGGGTGACCAGGAGAAGATCAGAGGCAATTTGAATGGGGGAGGAGAGGGTGGGCATAAGGGAACTCAACCAGCTGGTGGTGTTGCAGATGACCTTTTGGTAGAGTATGCTAAATCCAGCCGCAGTAAATGCAAAAACTGCAAGGAACAGATTGATAAGGTGAGATTTGACCTGTATTTTGCTACATTTATTATAATGTCCACATTCATTGGAATGTGGGAGATTAAGACGAGAAAAATGTTTGTCAGCTGAGCCTCTTCTATTCATTGTGATTTCAAACTGATTATTTTCTCTTATAACTTGCCCAAACTTAGTCAATGGGCATTTTATCACGTGACCATGTTAGGTTTACTGATGTCGCCATGTTGTAACTAGAACATACGCATCACACAAGTAGGAGTAACAATTGATTTTTATTGCGTATTTCACTGACTTTTATACAATCATTCATCTAAGTCGCTCTGATTTAAGTTAACATACTTGGCATAGTATCACCTATACAATTTTGCAGCATTTCCTAAAGCGGTTTTCTACTAATGCGTAGCTAAGCCATGATCAACTGCGATAAACATTGCGATAAGTGTGCAGTTACATTGGTCATGATATTCGAGCACATATTCTAACTGACCACCAAGTCACAAAAATTTTGAAATTATTTTTGATGCCAAATAGGATGTGATCACAAACGCATGAATGGTATGCACTGGACAGCTATGATAAAAATTCCACGATGAAAACCTTTCCTACCTTTTGTCATGTCAGAAAAAGACACTTGTAACTCATTGAAAGCTTGACTTGAAAACATCTCTTTTCTGTTGTAGTTTAGAGTTTGCATTCCTGAAAGCGCTTTTTCAAATAAAACAGTCTCTTGTACTTAGGGAGAAGTTCGTCTAGCCAAAGTGAAGGAGCCCGATGTTGAATCAAGTGCTCCAGCCGGTGTTGCTATTCCTTGGTGGCATCATATTGACTGCTTTATAGAAAACCGTGAATCTTTGGAGGTCAATTCCTCTATAACAGCTGAGTCATTCACTGGATTCACTAACTTGAATAAAGAAGACAAAGACTTGTTAAAGAGCAAACTGGGAACAGTGAAAGGAAAGAAGGCTGGAAAAGGGAGCAAGAGAAAAGCACAACAAGCAGTTGATGAAACAGATGCTAAACGAACAAAGACGGCAGAGGAAGATGAATTTGAGAAAAAGTTGAAGGTCAGTACTCCTTGAATCTTTGACCCTGAAGGAATTTTTGATTCCGACTACTATGTAATATATCTTATTAACCAAGAGCGAGGGCCGTACTGGGAGAATATCGGGCCGAGGTCTTGACAGTACGGACCGAGTGCAGCGAGGTCCGTACAAAAAAGACCGAGGGCCGATATTCTTCCAACTGGTACGGTCCCGAGCAAGCTTGGTTAATAAGAGATTTATTATACGACTGAAGTTCAAAGGAACACAAGTGCGGTATCATTCGGGACCATTCGGGACAGTGCCCGGTCCAATACTTAGAGAATATTGGACCAGCAATAGAGCATTTTGATTGGTTGATTTTAGTTATTGGCCCTCTGACTGCCCGAGTCGTGGAATAATTTGTTTTACCGATGAGATAGGAGAATTTGTTGTTGTATCAGGATTACCCCCTTCAGTTGTCAGCCAGTCTCTTTTCTTGCCTGTTTGTTATTTACATGCTGAAATCACACGGAGAAGTTATAACTGTTTATATGAATCACTTGTTGGAGTTTAAGGTTTTAAATTGAAGAGTATAGGCGCACAAGATTTGCCCATGAACGCGTTTTTGTCAACAAACTTTGTATTTTGGGAAAGTGTCTTTAATGTCACAGTTTTGCAATCAGCATTTAGAAGGCGAAGATGCAGTAACTTTTCCAGTTTGTCAGCAATTGAATTGTTTACAAGCCATCTTTTTCTTTCACCAGGCACAAAGCAAATTGCTTTGGAAAATAAGAGATGATTTGCAGAAGAACTGCTCCTTACCAGAGCTTAGGGAAATGTTGGAAGACAATGGACTCGGTTCTCAAGGAGGGGAAAGCTCTGTAAGTTTACTGTATGCACATATGGCTGATTGTTATCTCGCATTACATTCAACAGTTTGATTTTTTTTCCTTTGTAGCTTCTTGACAGATGTGCAGATGGAATGGCATTTGGAAGACTACTTCCATGTGAGGAGTGCAAAGGAGGTGAACTTGTGTACAGGTCCGTTTGATTTGCATGTTCAGTGGAGCACGTAGTAAAGAATTAGAATTAATTATCGTAATTACGAATTCGCCTCGACTACGCGCGACGGGAAAATTAGGTCGTGTGACTTATAATTTAAAAGGAACAATTTATGCTGTAACAACATTCGAAGCTTGTCATCAACGGTCGTAAACGCAAGCATCAAGATAAAGCATCGAGATAGCGAATCAAGGGTTCCAACTACTCAGAAACACAAATTGTAAGTTACGAAACCATTTATCAGTTCGACTAAGAATATTGTAGATAATAATGTATCCCGAAATTATTTGATTTTCAGTTGACTACGACGTAACCACGGATGTAACGAGCCGTGTCTCACTCTAGTACAAATAAAACCTGGTAACATTGATCCCTGGTGGGCTAATCTTCAGAATAAGTAGCCCTTCAACCATAGGAGCGAATCACCATTATAAAAATATTCAAATATGATTTTTATGCACTGTATTTTTATGGCCATTATTGCTCACATGTTTATCTATCTGTTTTACATGAAAGCCTACTTTGAGACTGTAATTTCATCCATCTGTAATTCTCAAGGAGTCTCTTGCATACAGAAAAAAAATCCCTTCTCCTTGCATACCGGTTGTGCTAAATCTCTAAGATGAATGAAAAATTTTTTTTTGATTCTGTTGTGTAGTTTGAGCATCAAAAGAGGCTGGTGGGATAAAGCAGTCAAAGAATAAATTTAGGGGACTTAGGTGGTTTATGTGATCCAAAATGAAACATTTCCAGTTCTTAGATTTGTGGAGGTTGGCTTATATGTTGTAATACAGCAAAAACAGTTTATGTCAGTTGTAACAAATTAACTACTTTCTGTGATTAAAAAAAATTGGGGTAAAATTCAAGAACAGCTCCCCAAAATACCTGTTGGCCGACTGTTCACCAACAGTTGGCCGACATAATGAAAACAAATTCAGAAACGAGTAAATAGACTGTCATCTTGGTAAGTTTTAACTTTCACAATTACCTCAAAATGAATTTAGACGAACACCACGTGACAGAGGTAAATTTCGAGTGTGAGACATTATTAGCCATATTGATCTTCATTTATATGAACTTAATGTGTAGTATTTGACTGACACATTTCATTCTGCTGAAATTAGAAGAGTTTAGTTACTTAGATTTAGCAATAAGTTAATAAGAGTAAATTTTTTCAAAGACTCGCAAAATTGCATGAGCCCATGTTTTGGTTGTGTTTCTGTTGTGTTTTCATTGTGTTTTCTGGGTTTCGTTCGCTGACAGTCAGCTGACAGATATTTTGGGGAGCTGTTCTTCAATTTTACCAAAGTTTGCAAAACACATCTTATGTCTTTTTCCCATTTTTTGTTTTGTTTGTTTGTTTGTTTAATTTTTTCTTTATTTGTCGTTTTAGGACTGAAGGATATTGTTGTACAGGCAATTTAACTGGTTGGACCAATTGCACCTTTGTAACAAAACAACCCAAGGGAGAAAAGTGGAAAATTTCAAACGAATTGAAGGAAGAATCAGACTTTTTGTGAGTGCAATGGTTTTTGCTAATATAATTTTTTTTAATCAATTCCTGTCTTTCAGTATTAAGTGAAACTTTTATAGGATCACAGGTATGCTACATTTGACTATCAGCCTTGAGGTCAATTCTAACACTTGAGTGTTTTGCAGGAAGAACTTCAAGTTCAAGAAGAGAGATAGGGTATTTCCAAAAGTGCAAACTGCTCCTGCTGTTATACCATCTAAAGCTGCTATCAAATCAGAGTTGTCTTCTTCAGTGTGAGTCCCCACATCTTAGCAACTCTTTCCAGTGTTACTTTGTGTTCACAACTTTTTGTCACTCAGCTCTTGTATCGCTGCACCTAAAAATTCTCAAAGGGTCCAAGTGTGAGTCAAAATTTGTGCATCTTAATGAATTTAGCCTGGCTAATTATCCAGGGGTGTAAAGGAAAGCTGGAATCATCTTGGGATAAGCATCCAGCATTTATGAGCTAGCTACAGTTACCGTAGTAACTTAGCCATTTGACCCTAAGGATTGACCAGCATGTAATTTCTCCTTACAATATCACCCCTGAATCACACATTAAGGTCAGGAGAATAAAGGAAATGATCACCATCTAAGGAAACTCTTGAGTTTTAAATAAATTCTCCTTGTTGGCATCCAGGAAATGCATAAAGAGCAGTTTGAAGGATATGCATACTGATGTGAGGGCATAAACTGTTAATTCAGTATTGGTAACTGCTTCCAAGAGCAAATCTAACTTCCCAGTTAGCTCAATGGATAGAGCACTGGACTGTTGTGCGGGAGGTTGAGGGTTCGAGCCCCGGCCAGACCAACACTCAAGGTCTTAAAATAATTGAGAAGAAATTGCTACCTTTCTATAACATCAAGAAATGGTTAGATATTCTAGTCTCCTCAGATAGGGATGAATAAATGAAGGTCCCGTCTCCTGCAGGGTTGGGGTAGGAGACGTTAATTTCCCACACACGAGATTACTGTGTGATGGATGTCCTCCCCTGGGGTGGGATGGGTGGGAAGGTGAGATCGATAGACTGAAGCGGCTGCCAGAGGCACCTGATATGCTGACATCTGTTCTCAGCCTTACACTGCACCCGTAATTCAGCCTCTGGGCTGCAAGTGGTCAGATATAAACTATATTCATGTTCATATTGTGTTGCCATTTTATCATATCACAGGGCTTCACCCTCAGCAGCAGCATCTGATAAGCCACTTTCCAACATGAAATTTGTTTTAATAGGCAGACTTCAACAAAGCAAGGTACATGACAAGTGTCTAATGGTTTGACTTTTGTTATTACTTGTTTCATGCTTGAGGTAGGTAGGTAGCAAGGTTGGCGTAGTGGTGAGAGTGCTCGCTTTCCACCAATGTGTCCCGGGTTCGATTCCTGGAGCCGGCGTCATAAGTGGATTGAGTTTGTTGGTTCTCTACTCTCCGGGTACTCCAGCTTTCCCCTCTCCTCAAAAACCATCATCATTTGAATTTATTTAATTTAGAGTTTATTTGCATTTACACACCACCCCACAAGCTGTTCAGCTTTAAACATTATCGTGTCTAAAGAAAGGTGTTATTATTGATATTATTATTAGGTATAGAGGTAAATATCAATGCACTGACAATTATTTGTTTTAATTGTAACTTTTTAGGAGAAAATCACCGAGGCAATAGGGGAGCTTGGAGGATCAGTATTGGAGAAGGTTAATGCCCTTGTGGATTGCTGTATTAGCACTCAAGGTAAAGCAATAAAAAATACAGTGCTGTTTGGAAGTGAAAGTTTGACTTTGCAAAATTACTTGCATCATTTTGTTAAGACAAAGAAGATATTTTCAAGGTTAGAGAGAAATTTATTTCTTAAGGCACTATCTTGCTTGTAGAATGCAAATTTTTACAGTGCAGTGTACTATGTTCATGTAACTCTGGTAATTGAAGGCATAGCCAGCGAGAAGGCCCTTGTTATTAGCGATGCAGGAGGCATATTCCTCTGCCGTGCCCTCAGGTAGATTCGAAGACAAGTTGGGGAGAAGTTTGCTGGGAGTGTAGCACTACCAGTGAGTGGTAAATCCCTTGCAGACCTGGCTCACTTTGCTCAAGGGCTCACACAATCCTATTAACCCTTAAACTCCCATGAGTGACCAAGACAGAACTTCTCCTTACAATATCAATACAATATCCAGCAGACAAGTGATGAGAATAAAGAAAAATATCAATTGAAGGATTATAAGTTGATCAAATGGCAACTTCTCTGATGTAGCATCATCAGAATTGTATTGGAGATGATAAATACATCTTGTTAACCAAGCGCGAGGGCTGCACTGGGAGAATATCGGCCCAAGGTCTTGACAGTACGGACCGAGCGCAGTGAGGTCCATACAAAAAAGACTGAGGGCCGATATTCTTCCAGTATGGTCCCGAGCAAGCTTGGTTAATAAGAGATTTATTATACGACTGAAGTTCAAAGGGATTCAAGTGCGGTATCATTCGGGACCATTCGGGACAGTGCCC